CCTTGTACTTGAGGAGAGAGATACAAAAATGGTAATATAAAGCATACTGTGAAGCAAAAGACCAAAGAGAAGTAACAGATTGCTTCCCTGGTAGCTCAGTGGTGAAGAATCTACCTGCAATTCAGGAAACACCAGTTCAATCCCTGGGTCAGGAAGATCCCCTGGAGAAGGAAATGGCAGTCCACTCCAGCATTCTGACCTGGGAAATCCAATGGACCGAGGAACCTAGTGGGCTGCAGTCCATGGGATCGCCAAAGAGTCGTATATGACTTAGTGACTAAAACAAGAACAAGAAGTTACTCTAAGATTATAAGGGAGGTAAAAGTGAGTGTAAATGGGAACATTATAGTTCAGTTGGGCCTTGACATGTTTTAGAATCCATCAAGGAAAAGTTAAGAAACAGGCCATTTGAAAGGAAAAACTGTGTTCAAAAAATGAAAAAAATACTTTGTATATAATGCTTTATGTAAATTATAAGGTAGAAGGGCTTTTTTGTAACCAGATTATGGAATACAATGAATGTCATTCTGTTTTATGTAGTCAGCAACAGGAATTGCTATATGGGACTTGTTCAAAACTGGTTGAGGACAATAGCTCAGTGAATTATGTATGGATTGGAAAGAGAGGGGAGTAACTGAAAATATAAAGACTTAAATAGATCAGCCACTTCTTTTACTAGAGCTACAAGTTCTAGTAAAAGTTTCAAGTAGTGTTACAGCGATGAGAATGTTTATGCCTATCCCAAAAACATTACAGAGAGTTGTGGGCATCAGTGTCTGTGGTGTGAAGCGCAGAGGGGCAGGAGAAAGGAGAGGGTCATGAGAGTGGTTTTGGTGACCATGAGAATGCTGGTGCTGACTGAGATAGAGAAAACACAAGAGTAGAGATGGAAAGTTGGGGAAGCTTGCGTCAGTGATGCAAAGTTTGCATTTGGACATACTGAGCTTGAGCTGAAAGAAAGGTATTCCCAGACGGAGGTGTATAGCAGCTAGAATACAGGTGTTCACTTTGGAGGCGTTCACAGAGATGTCATAGTTGATGCTTTATAAAGAATGGTATTTAAAAAAAAAGAATGGTATTACCAAGAGATAAAACACAGGTAAATAGAAAAGGAAACAGCCTGGAGTGCTCAGAAAACATGCATTAAGTGAACTGCAAGAGTAAAAGAAAGAAGGACCCTAGGTAAATACATCCAGGGGTTTAAAAGAGGTACTCAATTGGCAACTTCTTAAGTGGAAGATAGCATTCATTCTTTTAGCAAGTGTTTGTTTACCAGCACCATTGTAGAATCGGAAGCTAATGCAGAAGGCTGTGTAATTCACATTTGTCTGAATAAGATAGAGAAGTCCTTACTCTCTGGAACATACATTTTATTAGGGAAAAGGGTAAAAGAGACAGATGATAAACAAGAAAACAAGTTTAGACAATTAGGGATTAATGTAAGCGGTGTGAAGAAAACAAAGCAGGGAGGTATATGACACAGAGGGAATGCTATTCCTCCAATGCTTTCATGCAATTAATTCATATAGACAAGGAAATTGAAAGTCAGCAAGTAGGTCTAGTTTATGATAGTCAGAGTTTTGCATGGAACTGGAACTTCTCTCACTCCTCAGCCACCTACCATTGGTGCTATCAATCCTTCCCTCCCTTACCAATATTATAGTCAAGACATATTTCATAGTAGTCAGCATCAGTTGTTCATAAAAGTTATAATTATATGCATCTTAAACACGGGAAATAATGATTTACAAAAATAAAGGGATATGTTGAGGTGTTTTTATTGGAGTTTGGTAACCTCACCTAATTTACTTATGGTTGAAATAAATCACTGTATGTATTAGGAACCAAAGTATAACCTTTTAGTTAATTTTCACATGTGTGAAAAGTAACAACTTTTAAAAGGTGACCACTTTGACAGCTTAAAACCAACAACACTGATCTTATAGCATACCACTTCCTTACTACTAAGTCTCCATACGAAGTCTTTTGACGTCTTCTTGATAACTGTGTTTTTCTAAAATGACTTTACAACCTGAGAATTCCCTGGCAGTCCAGTTGTTAGAACTCGGCACTTCCACTGCTGGGGGCTTGGGTTCAACCCCTGGTCAGGGAACTGAGATCCTACAAGCTGCATGGTGTAGCCAAAAAATAAAACTACTTTCCAACCTGTATATATGACTTCTAGATCTGGGTCTTCAGAAAGAGTTGGTGTGTAAAGAGATTTCCAATTACAATTTAATAACATAACATCAAGCAAATTGATAGAGAAATATTCATTTCTAATCACTAACAATTTAATTAGTGCTACCTTTAAAAAAAAATAAATGAAAGCTGTTAGTGTTTGATGATTGTGACCCGTGGAATTTTGTTTTACATGAGCCTTTCACAGTATCTGGCTTTTTCAACATATTACACTGTCTTTAAAACCAGTGCTGAGACCTCTTACATGCTGTAATTTGGGCATCTTTAAGTTTATTAGCGCTCTCAACTTATTCAGAGCAAGATTATTTCTATTGGATGACACTTTGCACCCACAAGTAGTTTTCCTTTTTAAAATATTTGACCACAGATTCTCCAAAGAAGTTGACTTATCTGCCCTAAGTGCTGAGATACGAAGATGATTTATGATACCTGTTATAGTAATGGGACTGTCCTAGAGAAGAGCTCCTGAGAATTGTTGGTGTGTGGATTAGGGAGGCATTTTAAATGTTTATGGCTAGTTACATAGCTTGAATGAATTTCTGTTACTATTTTTTTTTTTCAGCAATGTGAAAGAAAGTATTACAACAAAACCTTTAGCCAAAGTACAAAAATTTATGCATCCCTATATGTTAAACTCTTAGGTGGTAAAGTCTATAAATTACTTAGGGAACATTTTTTGAAGAACTTCCAGCGTTTTTTCACTTTCATCAAAGGTGACAAAATATCCTTTAAAAGCAAGCTTAATTTTTTTTTTTTTGCAATACACATCATTAGGAGCTGAATTTAGCAAAAATGTTAACCAAACAGAACTTTTTAAAAGAAATAAGGGGTAACTTTTTAAAAATCATTTTCTTTGGCCTTTGAAACTATTTTCAAGGACTATTCTCTTCAAAAAAATGTTTCCTAAGATTATTTTGGGGGCTTCCCTAGTGGCTCAGTAGTAAAACATTCGCCTGTCAGTGCAGGAGACGCAGGTTTGATCCCTGGGCTGGGAAGATCCCCTGGAGAAGGAAATGGCAGCCCACTCCAGTGTTCTTGCCTAGAGAATCCAACGGACAAAGGAGCCCCGAGGACTACAATCCATGGGTTCATGAAAGAGTCAGATAGTACTTACTGACTAAACAGCAACAACAGAGATTATTTCTAATACATAAAATTTATTTAGATAGTATATTCTAGAAAGATTGTTTATCAAACTTGTTGATTTTATATTTCTAGTCACTTGTTTTTTGTTCTAGTAGTTAGAATTTTAATTATTTTCAACTAGGATAATAAAGAAGTTGCTATGATCTATTTATGCCTCTTGTATTAGAATATTTATGATACTCTTTAATCCTAGTTTTAAAACTGAGACTTCTGTAGTTTTTATGTAATGGAGTAGTCCTAAAATTTATTAAACAGTTTCTCACTCATGAGTCTTAAGGGTGGCAGCTTAGACTACAAAAATATCTCCATGCCAGTGGATTTATATTTTTGCTTTTGTCACATATTGATGTGTTTGTCTTTATTTTCTGGTTAGATTTATTCTCCTGACCATACCAGCAGTAGTTTTCCATCAAATCCATCAACACCAGTTGGATCACCCTCACCTCTCACAGGTAAGCTTTTGTTTTATCTAACTACTTAATAACATATGTGAGGCTACTTGAAAATATTTGAAGTTTATTTTTCAATAAAATATAGTAAAGACACACACACAAAAAAAATCATTTGTTTTGAGAAAGCATGTAAACAGAGTCTTCTCCTGAGTTCATTTTGGAGAATGTTGAAAAATTTGCTATTTGAATTATTTGTTCGTATCTCCTTTGGTTCTTAAAATAATTTTCAATAATTAAATTATTGCAACAGGATAAAAAATAAGGCTAGGCAATTGAGATGAAAGTAAAATATAGAGGAGATAAATTTAAAAATTTGATAAGCTAGCATAGAAAATAAAATAATCTATTTAGAAGTACATATGACTTCTTTCTTCCTTATTTTTAAGTCCACTGAGTTATTATTTCATATATATGTATATAAATTCTTGGGAATATTGGAGGGTTTTTGTTTTTTTTTTTTTCCTGAAGGAAACAACTCGTTGTGAATGTGGGTGAATATTCTTAGTAGAGTTAAATAAATGTTCAGTCTTGTGTTGTGTTTTCCTTTTTTTTTTTAACAGCAGCTTTAACAAGTTCCAGATAGTAACCTACAGTATAAATTTGTTGAGATACAATTGTTATTCATATAAATAGGAATTTTTCAATTTATTAGAAATAAAATTACAGGGAAATGCTTGCATTTATTAAGCTATAAAACTTGAAATATATTTTCCTGAGCATTGTTTGGAGAAAAACCATGCTGAAGAAGAAATGTATTCATTCTAAGGAAAAGACATTAGACAACTGGGTAAAAATTGCCATTTTCCTCCAATAGTTGACCTCAGAAACAATTCTGTATTCCTGACCAGGTCACTAGTTCAGCCATGTGGCATTGTTGTTGCTGTCAAGCCTTTTTGCATTGTTCAGGATTTCTGAAATTCAGGACTCTGATATATCAGGGCTCTGGCTATCACCTGTGTGCTGTGATTTAGCCTTGTGACTCTGCTAAGAAGCATTCCAGTGTGGAAATGATGAACTGCTGGCAGCTGCTTTCAGCTATTAGTGGTTCTGCCACTTTCTCAGACACCATGGCTTCAGCTGTCTAGTAAAAGTAGAACAGCTGTTCCCCGTATAGACAGGACTATGAAAGACCCATTGACTTAGAGTTGTTGTTTAACAGAGGAATGAAATTACAGGAACAATGATGTAACTTTAACCATATTCACCATCTTGGCAGAGTTTTACTGAAGTTATCACTGTCATTTTTGCCACAGCCCATTCCACTTGTTCGTCTCGGGTAGCTATGTTGGCCCTTACTGTATGCTCCTACTGCCTCTTCTCCTCTGCCCAGTAAGACAGCTATAGAAGTGTCCTTTAGTTTTCATGAACATTGGTTGGGAAGACAGGCAGCAGAGATGCTCAGCATCTGTGAAGGAATATCAGAAAAATGAGGAATCAGAGACTTAGACATTTTTCAAAAAATAATGGTCCAAAGTAAAATCTCACATTTCCTCCTTCAATTATTTGATGTTTAATGAATGGTATCCTTTTTCTGCCTTTAATTCAGCTGATAAATGAAAATCTGTGAACTGTTGGATTATGTAGTGAAGGTAATAATAGATTTCTTTTTCAACTCAGTTGTCATACTCAAAAATATTTTTATATATTCCTGTTGAAGTGGTAAATCAAAGACTGATTTTATACAGGTGCATCTTTGTCTCATCTCCTGTATCTAGTGTTTTCTTCTTATAGCCACATATACACACATATCCCAGATTGATGGAGCAGACATGGAAAGGGAGGAGGAAAAAGGGAAAGCACTGTGTAATAAAGTTTTCACAGTTGAAGGAGAAATGAGTAAGATAGAGCAAACCAGAGCTCCTATATAATATGTGCAAATTATTTTGTACCTTCTGTGGCAGTGGCCCATTGTTGAGAGTAAAACATCCCACCCCGTGTGCTCTCTACACTGGGTTTGTTTCTTATGCTTGAACATCAGTCCAACTCAACACAGACCATGTAAGAATAGTTACAACATAGGCAGTTTCTAAGGCATTCATCATTCTTGTTTAAATCCTGCTCGTGTTCAGTAGTAGTAATAATAGAAAATGCTTAGGAGGAAAAAACATCTAAGATGATTATAATATTTTAGTTAAGATACTTCAGGCTGAAAGAAAGACAAACTCTTGTCTGGAGTGGATTACACAGTAAGGAGATTTGGGATATCTTGTATAAAGCCCATAGCAGGGAAAGTTCCTGGACCAGTCTGGACTCCTGCTCTATTTCTTTGAAATTCTTTCTCAAGCTGGTGGCAAGACAGCAGTTAAAGGTACCACATGTAGACATAACCATGTCTCCTATAAGAAAAAGGACCATCTATTAAATGTCTTTTCAGAATCTTTTTCTGGAAGCCTCTTTAACAGGTTTTCCCTCATGATTCATTGATCAGTACTGGGCCTAACAGTTACTTAACAGAAATGAGACCACCATATTTGTCTTAGTTGTTAGGATTTATCCCAAGAACTAAGAATAAAATTAATTACTCTTTGCAGGTTCACAGTAGGAAAGGATAGACACCCCGCCACCTTCTGAACAAAATCTGTGCTCTAGCAGCAAGGTAGAAGAGAAGTATGGCTGTGTCTGATACAGTTGTCATTTGAAAAAAGATATGACTATTTCAGTTAAGAGAATGTGTTTACTAAAGAAACTTGGAAAGCAGACAAAACAGTTCTTTACCTAATTCGGGAATATCAGTGAATAAAAGTCTAATAACTGCAGCACTCAGTAGCAATCTTTGGAACATCCGCAATGAAAGCAAAGAGGATGTGGGGGAGACAGGGAAGATTCCTCAGTTTGGACTCATCTCATCAATGAGATATTTATTTTTGTTATCTGTCATTGTGCCTGTTGTTAAAGCAGTTAATCTGACTTCAGCAAGTTTTCAGTTTAGTTGAGAAAATAAGAGATAAACACATGAAAATAGAACCATCAGAACTCACTCTTGAACTATCAGAATTCACTCTACACTACAGTTCTCCAGATACATTTCATGAAGAGAGGGTAAAGGAGAAAGAACTTTCTGAGTTTAAAAGAACAATATGACAGAGGTCAAGATGTGGAAAGTGTATGACCTGTTCATTCAGACTCATTGAGATGACTGATCATGAGCTCTTCACATATGAAGAGCTTCCCCTCAAATGGGAAGGTTGGCTGGGGCCAGATTGCAGAAAGCAGAGCATTCAGTGCTACACTGAGGATTATTCAACCTTTTCTAAGGTTGGAGTGTATCATGAAAGTTTGAGTTTAGGGTGAGAGTACAAAGAGAAGCAACTAACAAAATAAGAAAATGCATGGTAAATAGTCCTAAGAATTTCTCTCAGCCACACAAAATGATGTTATCTAGTCTCTAAATTTATTAACCAATTTTATTAGGATGGTGTATTACTAAATCCCAGTCAGAGCAAAAACAGATCAGGAATACTAGGTGAATTTTAGATTTAGTGATCACAGAAAGAAAACCTTGCCAGATTTTCTAGCCAGATAATTTGATTCTCTTATCCTTGTCAGTAACTTGTTTTCTAGAAATAGTAAATTTCAATGCTAAGTAATAAGTTTATTACAATCCTTGGATAACAGCTAACTTTTGGGGATGGTCATTAATATAAAGCTCAGGGCAAAGCCCAGGACAATTACAAAATCTGTTAACTATATAAACAGTTGAAAGCTTGCCCTTATCTAATAGAACAATGTATAAGCCCAAAACCTCTACATGTGTCTACAACCAGGTATCCTGTGACAGGGAAGGAAGGGAGGATATAACCTATTCTCTGGGAAACCCCATGGATTTTTGCCCTTTGCACTTTTGTTTTACCATTATTTGTATCACAGTGCTATAGCTGGTGATAAACTAAAGATAATGATATCAAAATATTCTAAATGGATCTGTATATTTTATTCATTTAGTAGTTTTTAAAAGAGACAGTGATCCAGATCTGTCTAGTGTCAAAAGTATTCTGTAGCATTATGGTCTCTGTCTAGAACTTGAATTCCTTTCACAACCCCACAATTCTTATCCGTAACTAATAAGCCATCAGTGGGCCAGAATTACAAAAGATTGTGTGTCTTTTTTCATCATTGGTTACATGATTGGTTTCTTCATCAGGAAGAAATAATAATAATATTTCATTGTCAGAAAGATCTTTTAGACTCACAAACACTGTGTGTACATATCTTTTACCTCATTGGTCTTGTAAAGGCAGATTAAAAACAAAAACTAAAAAAAAACTGAATACCTATTTTATGGTGAGTATTCTAAATTAATTGATAGTACAGATCAACCAGAATGCAGGTCCACTGATTCTCAGTATCCATTAAACTTCCATGCTCTTTTTTGAGCTTTACCAGACATAGGATGGCCTTTGTTGAACTAACGCAGTCTATCTTAACTATCCAGCCATCCCCTTTGTGACCAATAGCATGAATTTTTGAAATGACTGAGCTTTAAAGAGCTCAGTTCATGAAATACAGCTTGGCATTTTATAAAATTCAAACAGATATAGATGATTTAACCATGTTAGTATTCTACTTTAATCAGGTTCGTCTCAAGTGGGGCAGCCTAATCTATAGTAATTTTTTAAAAAAAGGTTTGAGTATGTGTATGTTTTTCCAGTTTAATAAATTACATTTTGAAGTAGACCATAGCATAGATACTTCATGTCACTGTCAAAAAATAGTGAATATAGGTGATTTCTTACCTGAGTAACTCTGTGCACACATCGCATTCCTCAATACTAAGGTACCAAAGAACCACAAAAATTGCCTGTTTTGCAAAGCAAATGTGTTCTGAGTACTTAAACATAAAACTTGCATTAATGAGCCACACAGATTAAATATCCTATCACAGGCTGATCACCCAAGGATGTTGGGCAAAATGGAGCAAAATGATTGAAAATAAAATATTATAGGGCTTTCCTGGTGGTTAAGAATCCACCTGCTAAAGCAGCGGACACAGTTTTGATCCCTGGTCTGGGGAGATCCCACATTCTGTAAGCCCATATGTCACAACTACAGAGCCCATGCTCCATAGTAGGAGAAACCACGTCTTGAGAAGCCTGTGCACCACAATGTAGAGTAGCTCCTGCTCACCGTAACTAGAGAAAGCCTGCACACAGCAACAGAGACCCAGTGCAGTCAAAAATAAACAGATAAGGATCCATGGCTGATTCATTTCAATGTATAACAAAAACTACTGTAATGATGTAAAGTAATTAGCCTCCAACTAATAAAAATAAATGGGAAAAAAAAAAACAGATAAATCATAAAAAAAAAAAAGTCTTGCGGTCCCTTCTTTAAAGAAAAAAAAATATATATATATATAGTAAACATTAAGGGAAACTCTTTTTAAAATAATTTCAGTTCTTTTTAAAAATAGATTATGATTAACCTCTTATCCACATAAAAATTCACAATCCTACATTAGTTTTGGAAAGCATCACCAACTCGATGGACATGAGTTTGAGCAAGCTTTGGGAGTTGGTGATGGACAGGGAGGCCTGGCGTGCTGCAGTCCATGGGGTCACAAAGAGTCATACACGACTGAGGAACTGAACTGAACTGAGCTGATACACTGAAATCAATGGTAAAGTGTTACTTTATTTAGGAACTTTTCTTCTTTGGCTCCGCTGGCTCTTTGATGTGGCAAGAGGACTTTCTCTAGTTGCAGTACTCACTCGGGCTTCTCTTGCTGTGGAGCACAGGCTCTAAAGCACACAGGCTTAGTAGTTGTGGTGCACTGGCTTCTCTATTTGTGGCAGTTGGGCCTTAGCTGCCCCGCAGCTTGTGGGGTCTTAGTTCCCTGACCAGGGATCGAGCCTGCATCCCCAGCCTGAAAAGGCGGATTCTTAACCACTGGAGCACCATTAAAGTTCCTGGTTCTTTTTATATGAATTCTTCATGTAGTCAGTTACTGGATTTTTCTGATTGCTAAATTCTACTTGCTAAGTGTAAAATTAGCCCACATGCTTTCTGTTTCAATGAGCAATTTTAGATTTTCCATAATTTGTGTAGTTAAATTATGATTATATTTGTATGTCTAGCAGGTCACCTTTAATGGACAGAATAATTTGTAATTTGCTTCCAAGTAAAAAAATTGTTAGTCGATGAAGTATATATAGCATATATTTTTCTTATAATTTTAGTATTTAAAAATTTTTGTATAATCACAGTAATATCCATATAATTATAAAATATAATCAAGTTATTAGGAATCTTATGTATCCAGCTTTTCTTTTTTTTTTTTTTTTTTTTTTTTTTTTTTTTTTTTTTTTTTTTTTTTTTTTTTTTTTTTTTTTTTTTTTTTTTTTTTTTTTTTTTTTTTTTTTTTTTTTTTTTTTTTTTTTTTTTTTTTTTTTTTTTTTTTTTTTTTTT